GTGAGAGTCTGAGTTTAGTGGCTGGTCCAGTGTTAGACTTTGACACCCATGTGCCCTTCTGAGGGCACTCCTCCCTCAAGAGATGGCTGCCTACCTGTTCTCTGTCACTGCCCCAAAATGCCATCTCTTGCAGCAGCTGTGGGGCTGTGATCCTCAGCTCTCCAATCTCCAATAAATTAAACCTTAGTCTGCAAGGGGCTTGGGCTGCCTTTTGCAAACAGAGGCAGCACAAAAGCTGCCTTTCTCCCTCTCATTTGACTTTGTTTTCTCTCCCTCCACGTCTGCTTTTAGCCAAATGGTTGAATAGCTTCAGTATATACTGCGGGAGGCTAAAGCCAAAGGCTGGAGCACCAGCGAAGGATGCAGAACAGCGGTGCCCTGTGGCTGCTGCCTTCTGAAGGGACTGGGAGCTGTTTGCTACCCTTGCTCTGTTAACCCAGCCTTGATCGCCTTGCTGAACCCGTGGAGAAAGCAGGTCCAGAAGAAAATATTTATGCTCTGCCTAGCACACTTGTGCACACTTCCTGCTCTTGAAGTCCTTAATTAAGCCTACTTTTTGTTTATTTTTGTTTGGTTGTGTGTTTTGGTTTTTTTTTTTTCTATTTACACTGCCACAGTCTTGGAGGGGGAAGTGTGTCGGGTCCCCATGTGTTTTGCTGTTTTGGAACCTGCAATGTGGAAAGCTGCCTGTAATGGTCAAACAGGGAATCTGTGTGTATTGTCAGGGCAGGGGGAACCAGCAAGGGCCTTTTGCATTGCTCTGTGTGTCAGTGCGCCAAGTATCAGGACAGCTCAGCACGTCCTCCATTACAGAGGCCTCAGCCCGGCTGTAGTCACACAACAAGTAAGGTTGGGTCTTTGTAGACCTGATAGAAAAGATGCAAGACCAGCATGTTTAGTTCAGAGAGACCACCAAGCTTTTTCCAGCTAGTTTGGGAGCTTGAGTCCCTCCAAGGGACCATGTTATCTGCTTCTTTCATGACACTTGGCCTCCATCAGCAGAGATGTACGACCACTTAGGCTGATGCTCGTGACTGCGAACACCCAGCCCAGTGCAACGGGGACCTCCAGGTCCAGCTGCACAGCTCTAGGTCCAAGAGCAGCTGGTCAAAGCTTTGTAAACCCCAAAAGCATGGAGGTAGGATCCTACCTGCAAGTCAAACATCAGTCATGGTGCTCACTCAACTCTCAGCTCTGCTGCTACTGTGCCTGGACTGGGAGCATTCAGGTGAGCAAAGGTGGAAACCTAAGGCAGGTTGTTTCTTATAGCAAACTTTTAGAAGCAGAATAAGATTAGAAAATCCTCATCTCTTGGTAATGAATCCCCTGTGTAGCAGTCTTAACACCCAGATACAACATGCCTGTGGAATTCCTGAGATTGTTGCGAACTGAACCCTTCTTTCCCACCCTGAAATTTCACAGCAATTAACATCTCTAAGCCACCAGGGATCACCATCTGCAGGCACTGAGGGGGATCTCCAGTCCTTGTCTGTTTTCTGCAGCCTGCTGTGCTATAGGGATCACCATCTGCAGGCATTGAGGGGGATCTCCAATCCTTGTCTGTTTTCTGCAGCCTGCTGTGCTATTTTGGAAATTCTCTCATTTACTGGGTGGTTCAACTGAGTACAACTGCTCCTTTGGCTAAAATCACCCCTTGCCTGTCATCTGGTAATTAGAAAGTTTGGAAAAGCCAGTGGTGCTTAAGATGGCTCTGGGATAACCAAGACAGCTTTTTCTTTTGTGGATAAGGGACTGGGCTTTGGAGGCTGTAGACTTTTCCACTGAAATCAGATTTAAAAAGCAGGAGAAGGTAACAGTGGGTGACAAATGAAACCCAGAAGCGCAGCAGCACTACAAGAAGGGTAACACCACAAATGCAGAGGTGGGTGAGAAAAACAAACGCCTTCTGTTGAAAACACCACAGTGGGGGGGAAATGCAAAGGCAATTTGGATGCAGGGGAAACAAAAGAATGTTTAAATCCTGTCCAGGTGGGTTTGCCCAGTTCTTACTGGTGCTGCAGTTAGAGGCAATTCATAGACTTTTACAGTTCAGTAGGAGCTGGGCTGAGAACCTCGTGAAGAAACAAGAAGTGAGCTCCCACTGCTGGGAGGACATCTTCATGGATGGCAAAGCACCTCACCAGCTGCTCATCCTGCAGGCCTGACACGTCCCTCTTCCAGCAGGTCCCCGGGATGTTCTCCAGAGCCAGGGTGTCTGTGGCACAGGAAAGCTCCTTTTCCAAGGACCACCCTTTCCTGTTTGCATTGCAAACTGAGCATTTCCTTGTCTGAAAACAGCCTCACAGCCTCAGTGTCTGGCATATTGTTTCCTGTGGAAATTAGTGGCCACATGAACTGTGCAGGCTTTTTTGGAGTCTCTCTCCATGACATACGACCTGGGGGCCAATTTCAGGCCAACCTGCTGAATGAAGATTTTGAAGAGCTTGAAGTCAGGCAGTGGTGGGGCAAAGAGACCTTGCTTAGGTTATGTCTTCTCCTTTTAGACTTTGTGAAGGAGTTGTGTTTTTCTCCCAAAGCTTTTCCATAAGCTACTCAGACGCCCACCCTGCAGGTCTGCTGCTCTGTTGAGACTTGACCATCCTTCCTTACCTTCCCTAGCCCAGCTGTAATCAGCCCCAAAGCAGTCCTGGCACCGAAGCAAGGACTGTCAGAGAGTGTCCTTACTCAGCTCTGGATGAGTCCATAGGAGAGGGGTGGCCTTTTGGGAGGCACCTTCAGAAGCACTGGTGCAGAGCCTCCTGCGCTTGCTATCCTGAACACAGGACCAGCAGGGCATCTTCCCCGAACACCTTATCTTATCCAGAGGAAAGGAAAGCAGGCAGCAAGAGAGTGTTCTGCAGATTGCCTGGTCCAGTTCAAACACCCCGTTCCCCTGATAAGCCTGCAAGGTTGATGGCAGAGCACACATGATGCTGTCATGCTGGGCTTTTGGTGGAGAAAATGAGTGTGTGTCATGCTCTAGGCCTGCTCTAATAGGAGTTGTCCTGGTTCTTTGGTATTTTCACTAAACATGCCTGGAGTGCTGGGGTTAGTGATCATCATGGTGCTTTTCTCTTCTTGGCTGGAGGAGAAGCTGGAGCAGCTCCCTGCCATGCTGTGCACACAGGAAAATTATAGGGGCTGTAAAAAACATTAATGGCAACCTAGTGTAACGATTGCTTGCTGCAAGGGACAGAGGCATTTCTTACGGCCCAGGGGAAGAGTCCCCAGACTGGACATAGCTGCTCCAGTGGACAGAGACCAGGTCCAGGCAGGTTTTGTGAAGGGCTGCTCACCTCCCCTCTGGACAGCCTGTATTCCCACCACACTGTGGCCAGCTCAGAGTGGCCACACCTTGTCACTGCAGCTTATTTCAACCCAAAGCTGCAATGTCATTTCTGTAGCAGGCAAGAGCTTAAGGCAGTGTCCACTCCCTCCACCCATGGCGAGTGGTAGTGAGGCGGCCTGGGACACTGCTGCCCTGCAGATGGGTGATGGAACTTCAGATACTTGCATGAATCTCCTGGCTGCCTGTGGGTAGAAACCTTTCCTTGTCTAGCTTGGAGATTAGCAGGCTTTAACCAAAACAGACAGTTCAGCAGAGCAGGGAGAGGGGAGCAGAGCAGCTGGGGGAGTGTGGAAGCACAAGGTGCAACTCAGACATCAAGGACAAGCAGCTTGGTTACCAGCAAGGCAGACTGGGAGTTATCCTCTGCGGGCACAGCACTGCCAGTCCTGCTTGCCAGTCTGGCAGACAGCAAGTGCCACAAGGGCTGCTGGTTCCAAGGCCAGCTGTGCCACTGCACGCCATCCAGCTCCAGGCCAAAAATGACGGCACGTGTCCTCCCCCAGTTCACTGTCACAAGAACTGAGACACTGGGCAACCAGCTGCTGGTAGATGCACTGGGCATGCCTGGGAGGACGCTGAAAGCAATAAATGTTAACTAATTTTGGCAAACACCATCTCAGATCAGCAAGGGTGGGGACAGCTAGGGGAAAGGGATTCACTCACCCAGGACCCCAAAAGTGTCATGCCCTGCGTTTGGGTGCATGGGCACAAAGCAGAAATAAGTTGTGGTTCTGACCCTTGGCTCTGGAAGCTTCCTGCCACTGGGAAATTTTAGTGCCAGGAAATAACACAGTGTTATTGCACTTTTATCCTTTAGTTTCCAATAAAAAGTGTCAGCAATGCATTCCTCAAAGTGTCTTCAGCCCTGCATCTACAGTAATTAATTGTGCTTTAGATCAATGGTAAAGAAGGACTTTGAAGTACTAATCCACTCTAGGAAAGGATAAATTGCAACTATGACAAAAGAAATCTCAGTGTGCAAGTGTGAAAAATCTCTTATAACCTCCTCCTTCAAACTTTAGTTGGTTTTCCTTTCTGCAGAACAAATCAGATGTGACTTGGAGACATCCCCCAGGTGAAACAAGAGACAGCAGACTGGGACAGACACACACAATCTTTTCACCAGGTTGAAAACTGAATGAAACGGATGGGAGGTGAGCAAAGCAATAGTACAGCCCCTAGCACTGGTCATTGGGTCAAGAAATAAAGAGATCTTGGAGAAATTCCTACACCCTTCTCCTTCCTCCATCCCTTCTGCATTTGTTGTCAGCACATGCACTCTCTTCTGCACATTTCTCCTCACAGTCCCATTTAGCTCCAATGGACACTTGGTTATCCTTGATTTACAGGGGCTGCAAGAGTCCCTTCTTCCCAACGCTTGCGCCCCAAATGGCAAGTTTCTCTGTTCTGTGATGGAAGGACATCCAGGTCTGCCAAGACACAGATTGCCTGAATCTAAGTGACATTCAAGCTCAGTTCTCCTGGGGTATGTCCCTCAGATAGAGACTGCAGTCAGCTTCTAAACACAGGTGCAATTTCCTAGGAGACCTGTCTTGCATGTAATGGTAGTTTCCCATCCTTAAGAGCCATCTCTCTTACAGAAAACCACTTAAAGCAGTACAAAGACACACAAGACACATAGACATGCACTGAAAGAAGCAGCACCTTGATTTACTGTGGGACTAGAAACAGCACATAACGTCCTCCTCTAGATTTCTCCGCTTTTGGAGACCAAGACGCAGCTGTCTCCTCCTGCCAGCCCTCTGCTTTCCGACATCTGGCAGGGTAGTAAAGGTCAAACGACAGAGCAAGCTGAGAGATACGCAAACAGTTAAGCCATCTTTTTTTGCTGAAGTCATGTTTGAATTCCTGCAAAATAAATAAATAAATGAATAAAAGGCAAAAATACCACGGCACAGAGGAGATCACATTATACAAAGATGCCCTCTGCCGTTCACAAGCCAAAGGAAAGTCATCCACCCCAGCTCTATGCCAGATATTTGCAGCTTCTTTCCCTCTCTCCTTTTCTAGATGAAGCCCCTAAAATGCTCCCTATAGAGGAAAACGTGCTGTAGAACTTCGTGGTTTTTTTCCCATTTCAGCTGAAGTGAGCTAGCAGCAAGCTGCTAGCACGGACAATCAAGCCACGCCTCTCCTTTGTTTTGGATCTTACAATCCTCGGGTAAGTCAAATAGCTTCAGTTAAAATCCAATGGGAAAAAAAAAAGCATTGAGAGAAATGTTCTGCCAGGTCGGCCAGCTGCACTGACTCTCTAGTTGCCTTGATGCTTTCCTTGATAAGGAAAGTGGTGAGAACACAGGGCCAGATCCACGTTATTTGAGACTGACTTTGCTGTAATGGTTAACTTTTGCAGGCATTCGAGACATAGTCCACAAGTCACTGCATGCTCAAAACAGCTCTTGCTGTCAATACTACAAACTGAAAAATATTTGAGGCACAAATAAGTTCAGAGACTGTTTCTATTTTAAACAGCAATGTTATTTGATTATAGCTATGATTTTAAACAAGTTCTAAGAAGTACTGAGACCTTGCTCAAATGATACAAACTGCACATTTTAAATCTGTTAAGTCAGTCTATTAAAACAATGCAGATCCACTGCACATGCACATCAGTATCAGTTCAAATCCTTCTTGTATCAGTTTAATTCCTGGTGGTGTAAATCCCTGACTTTAATTTACTGACTGGGAATTAAATCAGCATGAACTGTTTTCAGTGCATCTGTGCTGGGTATTTGTGAAGATCAAGCCCGACCGTTTTATAACAATGTCATTGGATTAGAAAGCTCCACTGACAGAAACAAGCTCTTAAGAAATGCAATATAATTGTCTTGGACAGCAAAGAACAGAAGAGGCAGCGAATGAGCAGCAATCCCCTCCAACTTCATTCTTTTGCACTGACATTGAACTCTGCCTGCAAAAACATGTCACAGTCACGAAAGTTTTGTACATGTCCCTGTAGTGCTGAGACTATAGGAAAATTGACAGGCTGCAAAAATCAAGTTGCCTCTGGCATAGATGTCCAGTTGGCCAAGGGTTGTGTGCACTGGGAGCTATTTTGAAACCCAACATCCACGAATGAGGGTAGCAGCATGCTGCTCTTTTTCCATCTTCAAGTTTAGTGGAGGATTAACAAGTGATACCAACACAATCAGATGTTGGAGGCCCTTGAACTAACAACCAACCCCCTCATCATGTACCCACAAGGGGACTCTGTGTCCCATCACCCGCCCTGGTATTGCTGGGGGCCACTGCTCTCTCTGGGCAGCTGGTGAATGTCTTTGGGATTTGTTTTCATGCACGTTCAGCTGGGAGTGGCACGAAGGCCACGAAGGCCACGTTCTACCTCTCCGAGACAAACAAGGTTGTTGGATCACATGGGCTTTCCAGAGTACCTAAGTGGTCCCACACAGAAATGGTGCTGGCTGCATGTGGTCCTGCTGCTTCTCTGATAGGGGGGGTTTGCTGAAGCTGGACCTGCAGGTCTTTCCAACTTTCTGCTTCTCAGGAAGCAGCCTGTTTTACTGGGAGAGCTGGAAAAAACTCTTCGGCATTTGAAACACCTGGTATATACCTAGCCTCCTCACACCAGGCAAGGCTACTGCGCGGACTTCTCCCCAAGGTAGGAAGCACACTTTCCAGTCTTCTTTAGGGTTTCCAGTAGGGTATCAACGTTGTGCTCTGAGTCGATGCACACCTTCTTGTTGGGCAGGTCAATATCAAACTGGACACCTACAAGGAAAGGAAGAAAGTTCTGCATGGCTAGAAGCAGCCACATAGTTTGAGCACAGGGAAAGCTCACCTTCACACATCTGTGCTCCTAAGGCCAAATGTTTATGTGCCTCCCACCAGCAAACCCTGATATGACCACCAGCCAGCAAAACCAAAGCAGTGTCCTGCCAGTAACGGTATGAAGGAAGCCAGATCTATAGATCTGCATTGGGCACCATGGTTTCTCAACTGCTTTAATCCGCTCACTTCATCTTGGACCAACAAAAGGGAAAAGAATGGGCATGAAATCTCTCTCCAGACATGTACTTTCACAAAATTTGTAGGCATGTATCAGCTTTGAGGGCTCTGCCGCATCACAGAATCATCATGTGAGGCTGATAGTGGCCAGCACATTGAAAAGTGATGTTGGTGCTGAAGACACACAGAGGAATTGGGATCACCACAGCCTGGTAATGGGATCTGGAAGAAGATCCAAGGCCTTCACCTTGGTGACTGAAAGCTGTTCTCACTCAGTGAGGAGAGGGAAGCAGGATGACAGGTCCTCACAACTGGTAAGAGAAGGCCAGATCCTTTTCTCTTGGTAATGTCAGCATAAAGGAGGCATAGGTTATAATTTTTCAGGTGGTATTAAAACCAGGTTATGCAGGCAGCCACCAAATGCTCTGCTCAGCAGCTCTTTGCTGTGATGGTTCTGCACATGGACACTGATGACACATCTAGGGAAGCACTGCAGACACCCCAGGCCTCCTTGTTAATGCAGTCTGGCAGGACATCCACCTCCATTCCTTCTGGCAGCCTGAGCACGGGTCTACCGGTGTGGTTCCCAGAGGGTTCAGGATGAGACCCTGGTGATTCAGAGCCACCTGCAGCCATGAGAGCTCCTCCCTCCCTTGACATTTCTCTAAGGGTCACAAGGTCTCCAAGAGTCCTGCGAATAATCAGCGACTCATCACTGACTAAGCAGAGCATGGAGCAGAGGTTTCCAACCAGCCACTTTCAGCTTTTACCCACAGCACAACCCTTGGAAGATGAAGGATCCCCGGGCACTGACACCCTGCCCTGGCACTGACGTTGCTCCAGAGAGCCGGCTGTCACACACCCAGCACTGACTCACCTCCCAGCCTGTGCAGGACGCGGGTGACCGCATTGGAGCAGCCTTCACAGGTCATGTCCACAAAGAACTCGTGTTTCTGAAAAGAGGCAGAGGAGGGGTCAGGGAGGACACAGCTGACAACACACACTCATCCTCCACACTTGCCTAGTTTTTCAGGTGGGTGGGTTCAAATCCTCGTCAATCAAAAGGTCCACACATGCCACTAAGGGATCCTCAGCAAAACCAAGAGCTCTCAGTGCTCTTCCCTATGGTGTTTGGTCCCTACTCAGAGCAGGGCCACCTTCAGGGTCAGTGCAGGTTGCCATCTCTGTGGGCCTCTGCTGGACTCAGTCTACTTGCCCTGGGGAGCCCGGGAGAAGCAAGTCTCCTGCCTCCAGCTACCCACTGTCCCGACTTGGTCTGCAAGGTTTTTGATCCTTGCCCATCCTATTCTACTTATGTCTAGAAGGCCTCTGGTACTCAACATAATAAACTCAAAATATCAGCAAAACTTAAATCTGAGGTACATTGCTGTTTTTTCACCCCTTCACTCCACTGGGGCCTCAGTGTTATCTTCACTATTTGTGCAAGATTCTCGACCAACATCACTGTGCTTGCCTGTAACACTAATCATCGTGCTCAACCTTTGCCACCCGATGGCTCCTAATTTCCTTTCCTTGCACATGCTTTTTACTTTCCTTAAGAGAAAAAAAAAAAAAAGATACAAAGGCTGCTTTTCATTTGCTTACCTGCAACCTGTATTTCTATTCAAAAAACACCCTTTGCCCTCTGCCACAGAGGGCCTAAAAAACCATCACGGGCACCATGCACCCAGGACAGGAGATCGGGAACAGCGGTTCCCAGGAGGATTTCCGAGTGAAATCGGCAATTCCTTGGGTTTTACTTTCCAAATGCCCTGCGTTCTCTGCGGGGAAGGGGGGCGGAGGGGATCGGGACGGGG